AGCAACTGGTTCATATTTTTACTAGCAGAGAAGTATGGTGTCACCAACAAATTTTACCCTCTCACCTCCTCTTCCTGGTGGTTTATGAGTTTGTTAAGCTGAAAAAGTCCCAGCACACCTCTCTGCAGGACTCTCCTTGTGACCTCTCCCCACAGTGAAAACTATCTGCTGGCTCCCACCCTCTGCTTGGTGCCCTGTTTTTATCCAAGAGAAAATTTCCCTCTGTTCTGTGACAACTTAGTTTCTAAGACCCTAATGCTCCTCTAAATCTTTTTCCATAGCTCATTGCTCTCATGAGCCAGAGGGATTTTCTCAGCATCTCTGCTAATTACACCATTTCCTTTTTAACTTGGGGCAAGCAGGACGTCCCAAAGCGACGCAGGCCTGGGAGCAGCAGGAACTGCAGGGGTAGCAGAATTATGTTTTCTGCTTTGTACTTGGTCCCTTTCCTAATAACTGAAGCTCAATTTGCCTTTTTGACACTTTGAATATTCAATTGGCATATCCACAGTGATGGAAAGCTGTGTGAGTGACAAGAGCTAATTTGCAGCCCATCTTGGTGATTATATACTTAGGTTACTCTTCCTCCATGTGCTTTACTTTGCTCTTCATTTGCCATTTATCACCCAGTCAATCTTGTAAGATAATTCCACAACTCTTCAGCTAGCTGCACTTTTGAAAAAAATATGAAAAAGAATTCTGAATCATCAGCATATTCATCACCTCATTATTTACCAAGATTTCATGATCATTTATGAGTGTGTTGAACAACAAAAGTTGTTCAAATCTCTTTTGTGATTGCTAACCTTTGTCTCCTATCTGAAAAGTTTACCTCTTTGTCGTTTTACTTTCCTGCAATCAGGATTTTTTTTTTCTGTTTTCTTTGCTTGACTTTTAAAATAAAAGATCTTTTTTCTTCTTATTGTAGCTTCCTTTACTCCTTCATTTAATTATTCTGGGTCTCTATGTGTGCCTGAGGACATTCTCTTCATACTTTTTGTTTGATGGTAAATATTTACTGAGCCTTTCGTATTGTGTCTTTCAATAGCATCCTGCTGTTTGAGAACACTTCACACATTTTACTCTCCCTTTAAGTTCCATTTAATAAGTCTTCTTGGTTTATGTTTCCCTTTTTAGAAGGCAGTAGATCAGGATTTGGACTGTTTTATTGCTTGGGGCATGGTAGACTAGAATGTATCAACCACTATCATAAAGAGACCTTTCAATGGCCACATCTGAAATGAGATTTTGCACAATTCTCAGGCCCAGGAGTTCAGTTCAGGAGTTGCTTCCACTCTCTGGGTCACTGCAAAACTGGTGGGGTCTATTAAAAGAAACAAAATGCATTATTTCCCTGCTTTGCTGGTTACAGGCAGCACATCATCCTTTTCTCCACAGTCTGGCCCCCACCTCATCTCAGGAAAGATGAGCATTTTCTGGTGTTGCTTTGTGCTCACAAATAAGAAGGTGAATGCTGGCAATGCTGATATCATGGGTTGCTTGGAGATCCCAGAAGCATTAGGGAAAATTACAGGCTTGTGTTTCCGAATTGACACTGAGCTTTGCAGTTGCAAGCAAAACTGCTGAAATTCAGACTTCTACCTTTGGCTTGGCTCTGACTAACTATGGGTAATTCTTTTCTTCATTTTACCTTGTACAAGGATGTTGGCCACAGAAATGTGACAAAAGCCCTCTTCCAGCACTGTCTCTGGGTTGTAGAAATTACATATTTTACAATATTCCCCCAAAGGAGTTTGTACACACCAGGTTAGTGCTGGTTTTGACACCTGAGAGTATATCTCAGGTAGGGATGTTTATCAAAACCTTGGATCTCCGTGGTTACTTTGAACTGTCCATTCCCAGAATGAAGATGTAGGGTTTTCTGTTTATTTTTTGAACCCACAGTGTTATTTGGTAGATAGACAGATATCATCCTACTTTGAGGGCTTTCATGTGCTAACAGGGTGGTGAGACACTGGCACAGGTTGCCCAGGGATGTGGTGGCTGCCCCAACCCTGGTGGTGTTCCAGGCCAGGCTGGATGAGCCTTGAGCAACCTGATCTAGTGAGGAGATGTCCCTGCCCATGGCAGGGGGTTGGGACTAGATGATCTGTAAAATCAATTTGAGATTTATTTCATGGTTTCACATTGGTGTTGGTCCAATGACAGATTTCTCAAGTCTGCACTCATACTAACAGTGACCACAAAAGGAAATTCCCTTTAGGACAAAAATACTCCCTTTAGGATGAAAATCTAAGTTGTAGTGTTAAAGAGAAAGAAAAAAATACCCACAGCCTTTAGAAGTTCTGCATTAGCAGAATAAAGACTTGCAGCCTGTTACTGATCTGCAGCAAGAAGATCCATACCAGCCATGGTGATTTCTTCATTTCCTTGCTGAGAAGGAAATGAGAGCACCACGTTCAGCTAAAAGCCCTGTGGGACCAGAGGAGGAACACAGAGACTGGAGAGGAGGAAGGAGCCCTCCAAGCCCCTTCTGGCCATGGGCACTTGCAGATTTTGAGAATTCTGTGCTGAGTTACCAGAAGGTTTAAGTAGGTGCTGGCCTCAGAGAAGGAAACACATTTACAGGGAAACCCCAGATAATTTTCAAGGCTTTGCTATATCAACATATTAAAGATCTTAAAGTAATCCCCTGGCAGAAAGCAAGCAGCTTATTTCTTTCGGTGTGTTTGTTTTAAGATGCCAATCAAACGCTCTTTCCGCAGCAACAGCTCAGGGGTAGATTTGCCTTTGTGCACAAAGTTGGGATCGGGCCCAGAAGGTGACAGCCAAGAGATAAGGACTTAATTAATGTCCAGAAAGAAGCAGGAGGGACTAATGTTATCTGCAGTTTCACCTGACTCACACGATGTGCTGATAATCAATTGAGAATTGCATGAAAAGTGTGAAAACAGCTCGGTCCCCCTCTTAGGACAACTGCTTTGCTCTGGTGCATGGGCAACATTTCAGCCAACCTCACCTCTGCACCATGAGAAGAAAGCTGGTGGAAAAATTACTCATGGCTTCTCTGCATCAGGCATCACAGTGGACCTTTGGGAGAACTGTTGACATTGTACCTCAGGAGAAAACTGGATTTTTTAAGTCCAACGTTTTCTTTGTGATGGAGGTAAAAGATGTGATATGAAATGCTGAGTGATGGAACTCAGTCCTCTTCTTCTGCCTGCAGCTTGGTATCTTGTGGAATGAAGGACACATAAAGTGTCTGGTTCATGAATTGTGACTTTCAATGAGAAGTGCCATCCATGACTTAAATAGGGATGGATATAAAGAAACTCTATGAAGCATTAAATAAGTTAATTTTAAGGAAAATGAGCTCTATTTTTTCCCTTGTAGACCAAAATCCTTCCCTCTGTTGAAAATACTTTGCAATAAATAAATTGCCTTCAAAACACAAAATGTAGAAGTTGAAAATTCTCACTTTGAATTTTGTCAAGGAAAGAGGCACAAAACAAACTCATTTATAATAATCAAAGACATGAAGACACAATTCTGTCAAAGATCAAAAAAATGCATTGAATCCATTTTTTTTTGTTGATGAACACAGAGAGTTTCTTGGTGGTTTTCCCATGGGAAAAGTGTTGCTGCAGAGCACCAAAAGGACCACAGCCAGTCCTGCCTGCTCTGCAGGTGCTTCCTGTGGGGATGGTGCAGAGATGGTCCCACCATCCTGTTGCTCCTCTCCCCCTCCCTGGCACTGCTCTGCTTGTTTTTAAGCATTGAGAAGTAACTAGAAGTTAAGAAATATTACAGTAAATGGTAGAAAAATGCCCAAAAGGAAGATTAAAGCCTTGGGCAGACCAAGTCCCAAGGCCTGTTGTCCTGAAAAAGCCCAAAGGCTGCCTTGGAAGCCACCTTTGAAACCAGGAGAAAAGCAATTGGGAAATTAATAGTTTAACCATGGTGCTTCAGAAATATCATTTTGGCAAGCCATGTGCTGGTGGTTTTGGATGGGTTGTGAAGTGATTCACTGCTGGAGGGATCGGGCAGAGCAGATTGGGGCAGCCCCTGCTGTCCCAGCAGCCCTGGGACAAGATCCTGTGCAGGACAGCAACTCTGAAATACCAGCTGGGACACTCAGGCCTGACCCCTGGACAAGCACAGTGCCTGTGGAGCAGGCTGAAATCACACATAAACTCTTCTTTCTTCTCTTGAGTCTCTTTGTGCTGTTGATCCTCTTAGGCTTTTGGGGTTTTTTTCCTGATCTTACCTTATTTTCCTATTGTCCCCCATGTGGAAACCAACAGTGGTCTTAGCTGGGCTCAGTAGTTCACAGTCACACCTTCAGCTTTCTGTGTTCTGGTATTTCTTCAGGTGCACAGTTTGCCCTGTGGTCTCCTGGAGTTTGGAAGTGTCACACCTCCAGCCCTCCTGCCTTACCTGCTGCAGAGTAAGCATAACCAGAACCCTAAGACCAGGGAAAAATCAAGGTAGAAAGATACACTTGGATAGCAAATATATGTACATAATTTTCAGTAGTGACAACCATTAGAACTGACAGCCTGACAGAGTTCAAGAAATGTTTAGACAATGCTCTCAGGCACATGGTGTGATTCTCAGGGATGTCCTATGCAGGGCCAAGGGTTGGACTCAGTGATCCCTTCCAGCTCCAGATATTCTGCAGCTGCCCAGAGGTCTGAAATACTCTAATGGCAATGAAATCAGCACCCAGAGGTGCCTCTGGCACCCAGAGGCACCCAGCAGCATCCATTTAACACATTAGGGGATCACGTAATAGATATGTATCTATAGGTACGTAATAGATACGTGATCAATAGCTCACGAGAGCCTAGAAATTTATCTCCAGGATATCAAAATATGCATGGCAACATTTCCTAATTAAACAAACGAAAACTCAACCTCTGGGTGAAGCATCAGATGGAACAATGTTATCAGGCCTCACTGGGCAAACACAAGGAGTGTATAAAACCAGCTGCTCCCAGGGCAAGCAGCACCTCTCCTCCACCTGCCTGCCAAGAGCAATGGATCTCAAAGTGGTCTGTGTGCTCTCTGTCACCCTCATCATAGCTCTCAGCACCTTGGCAGAGGGAGCTGCACCACCAAGTAAGTACATTCATCTGTTGTTGCCTTTGCAGGTATGTATGGAGGATCTGGTCCTGCCAACCATAAGTGCAGCCAGGGAGTGTCTTCATTAACAGATGAGACAGCAAATAGCTTGCACTGGTACTATGTATTACCAAAGCTGGAGTCTACCTTTTAATATTTTCAGAGAAATTTATGGCAAAATGTAAGAGACTTCAAGTGAACTCTGGTGTTGATGGAATAACCACGACCCAGATGCGAAGGCAGAGGGACAGACATACCCAGGAGCTCACTAGAATGGGGAATAGCTAAATAGTCTTCTGATATTTATTTTATGCTGCTTTGCCACATGAATGCAGTTTCAAAGGAGTCTGTCTGCCTCCTCATTAAAAGTCAAGTCATTTAGACAACTTCAGAATTGGAAAGCAAGTAACTCAATGACAGATACCTACGGACAGCTCCAGAGTTTCTTGGCTGTGGATGATTGTACAGACTTAAGATATTATAAGTATAGCCACAACTATTTGCACAGAACACTATGTTTTTTTATAGTCACCTGACAAGAATGGGAAAATTTTGTTTCTTTACACCTGTTTGAATATGCACTGGACCTTTAATTCTTTTTGTTTTCACATGAGATGAGCAAAGCAGTAACATTTATTAGCATAGTATTTGAAGTTCTGGGGTTTTCCCATTTGATGTGGTCTATTTGAAGCCCACAGAACCCTCTGTGCTGGGCTGGCTTGGCTGCAAGTGAGACCACAGACTCTCAAAAGCCTTACTGAAATTGAATTGGTGGGAGCTTAAAAGCAGCTTTTAAACCACACAAGTTCTGGTCTCGGCAGGGGACAGAAAGTATACATTTGCACGGATGGACAGGGTCTAGGGAAAAACATTTGTTCCTAGTGGGTATCTGATAAATGCCCCTCCACTAACCAGTGTGCAAACTGACACCCAGTAACTTGCTCCTTGTGTCCTGAACAGCAAGATGCCAGTGTAAACTGTCCCCCAAGGAGAGGAAAAACTGTGGCTACCCAGGAATCTCAGCAGCACAGTGCAAGAAAATTGGATGCTGCTTCAACGCTTCAGCCCCTGGTGTTCCCTGGTGCTTTACTCCTAAACCAAAGAAAGGTAATGTCTCTGCCAGAAACACTGATTTACCTCATGTTTGTTTACCAGAAATATGTACAACAAGGAAGCAGCTTTGCTTTTCTTATTAGGCTAAAAAAGTGGGCACAAAGCTCTGGGTGGTGAATTCACCATCCCTGGAGGTTTTCAAGATGAGTCTGGATGTGGCACTTAGTGCCATGGTCTAGTAACCACAGTTGGGTTGGACTTGATGACCTTTGAGGTCTCTTCCAACCCAGTTGATTCTATGATTCTGTGTGAAGACTACTGGTAGTAAAATGCAAAGTCAAACCTTGTTTACCCACCAGACTTCTGTCTCATCCTCTTCACACAGTATATTTCCTCTTCCTTCGGGCTTCTGCTTATCAAACATCCTGTGCTGATTACTTATAAACATTTCACTGCCATTTCTGATTTTGTTCGACTGCAGAGCAAGGGATCCTCAGCACAAATTTAAAAGGGTTTGCTATGTGACTGGGGAAGGCTAGTTTGACATCTGTACAAATGGCATCCTGTATCTCTGAGGTTTTTTTGCTCTTTTCTGTTTTGATAATTGCTCTTCCTTCCTCTCCTGCATTTTCGCTAACATAATTCTACTTGATGGCTCTTTTTTCTCTCCCATTTTTGCTCCCAGTCTTCAGTCAATGAAATCTCCAAAATGTCCCAGGGGAAATCCTTTTTTCCATGAGTTTATTCCTTCTAAAGCTTCTGTAGTCCTGCTTCGATTTTTTGCCAAGCTTTTCTGAGAGAGGACAAGAGCTGCTCTACCAGTCTTTCAAGGATTGGGTGTATATTTTACATCACTAGTGTTAAGTAATTGAGTTTAATTTACTGCGTTAATTAACTAAGTATAAGCTACATTTGCTGGGCTGACTACACAACACCTTCGTAGGAGAACTTCAGAGCAGCCTCAGCACTTGCACAGGTGAAATGAAAGGAAATGAGGGTGCAAAGGCAATGTTACCCATCAGAAGAACTTGATATAAATTGAGATTGGTCAACGGGGCTCAGAATCATCTGAGGAAAAAATTAATTTTGCTTTTGAACAGTTTGCACTTTCTGAAAATCTTGAAAAATGAATGGCAGTGTCATTGTCGTAGAATTGCTTTTCTGAGCAATTTCAAATTCTGTTTCGGGAGAGGAAAACTGTGAATATATATGCATATATATACTGAGTGGTATAACCTCTTTACTTGTGATTTCACTTTTAATTGCCTGGACCAGCTGTGATTTCCTCCTAAGTGACCTTCCTTCTTTCCATAACTCAAGCTGGCATGCAGAGGTGACTGTTTTTTCCTCTCCTCATATTAGCCAGGCTGCTCTGGAGTTAGCATTGGGTCAGGTCATGATTATCCCCTGCTCTGAGACCAGTGTATGGGAGACACACAGCTTTTCACCCTGTTCCTGCATCTAGGAATGTTAAAGCTGTGCTGCTGCCAGATACTTCTAGGGGTGAGCTTTGCTTCCTCTGGTCCCAGGGGCACAGCAGCAATTCATCATCCTTTGGTATTTAGTTTTGCCTAACAGGCTTGGTAAGGATTTGGGTGAATCTACTGCCTGAAATTGGTACAGAGAATGTCATCATGGCTGTCACATCTACTCACCAACCTCACCTTTGTGTTCTGTCTTTTACCTGTGAATTACCTCATCAGATAAACGGAGCACGAAGTAACACATTCTCTTTCCTTCCTTCGCTTTTTGCTTTACACAGTTAAGAAAATGTGTCCCAACGATCCTTACTCCAGGATAAACTGTGGCCACCCCGGAATCACAGCTAGGGACTGCACAAGGAAGGGTTGCTGCTTCAAGGCACATCCTGCTGGTGTCCCCTGGTGCTTCTACCACCGCGTTGTGGAGGAAGGTAATGTCCTGCACGAGACATCATCCTTGTGTCCCTGTGGGCACACCACAGCTCCTGGAGGGGTCTGTGCTGTGCCTGCCAGATTCCTCACTTAGGGAATCCAAAAATGCCTGGCTTCCTGCACAGAGAAGGGGTTGTTGCATCTGAGACTTGTGGGCAGAATTAACCTGGGCTCAGGTGTGAGCTCAAGCCCTCAGCTAACGCAGTGGTAGAGATGCAGCTACCCAACTCACATCTACTTTATCATCATGAGAGAAAAAAGGTTTTGCTTTAGAAATTTGGAATGAAACTTACAGAAATCTCTGATCCACTACTAACTTCTTTTAAAATTAGAACTGATCTTTCAGCAAGTCTAATGTAGATAACCAATAGCCTCAGCCACAGTGTACTTTGGACTGAAAGCAATTCACCATAATTTGGTTTTACTGATCTGAATCGTAGTTAGAAAACACATATAGAGATAGGGGTTGGGAACAATTGCTAAAAAAAAGCCTTTTGGATATCCTGCATGTAGGCAAACCCTTCCTAGCATCTTGTGTAATTTATGGAGAAAACATGTCCCTTAATCTGCTTCTCCTCTTTACCTCCCCAGCTTGTTAAAGGAGAAACTTCCAACAAGAACCTTGCAATCTTTCGACCTACTCCAATGGGAACAAAAGATGGAGGTCCCAGCTCAGACTTTATATTTTGCAACAGCCATGATTTCTAGGCTGTTTTTACCTGGGATTGACTCCTTTCTGATGAAAAGTTACTGGTAGCTTTTATTCTCTCCATAGGCTAGAACCGCACAAGTTTTCACTGTAATAAAAGAACCAAAACACAATTTGTGAGTTTCTTTGCTGTCTTTATTTTAGAGCTCTGTATTTCTCTGTTTCCCAAGAAATTCAGCACCTCAGCAAACTGCTGATGAGAGAGTAGTCACTAACACTTCCAAAAGGGACACAGCACTCTTTTTTTTTTGTTGTTAGTTACACTCATACCTGCAAGAGACTGCTTGATTTTTTTCAGCTGATCCATGGCTTCACACAGGCCACTCGTCCTTCTGAATGCTGAAAATATTCAGTGTTTCCCTTTAAATATCTGTATCTGTGGCTTTGGGCTGTTTTGCCTCTCCTTGAGACATAGGGAACAGGTACCTTTGTTAGCTGACCATCGAGCTAGTCTCTGAGGACACCCACACCACTTTGGGACTAACGAGTGGCCACACTGAGCCATTTCAGATGTTCACCTTGCCCTCTGCCCAACAGTGACCCAAAGGGGTGTCTAGGGAGAGGAGCTGGATAAGCACATCACGAGGCTTCTCTTCTAACAAAATGCAGCATCGTCACAAACGTGAATCGGTTTTGACAAGCAAATATGAGAAGCCCAAATGAAGACTTCTCCCTTTGTACCTGACTCTGCCTGCACACCCACATCACTGCGCAGCGAGCGCTGAATAAGTAAACAAAGTTCTGAATTTTTCTCTGGAGGGGGAAAAAAAAGTAGGTCAACGATGTGATTTTCATCAGCGAAGGTGCTACCGTAACAGGAACCCATTTGTGTCAGCTTGTGACAAAAGGCTCTGTGCCGATGAGGCTGTTACGCAGCGAATGACGTTTAAAATCATGAATGATCATCGTAAACTGCAACTGTGACAGCTGAGTGCAACCAATGCCTCAGCTTCTAACAAAGGCTGAATAGAAATAGTTTGACAGTGCAGACTGATTGCCTGTGGTTCTCCAGGGAGTGAGGATATTCGAGTATTTTTTTAAAGCAATCACAGCCAAGGAAAAGGTCTCCACAATAATTCCTTTTGAAGCAATGCAGAAAAGTTGTATTTGGCTGACATGGAGAATTAACAGGGGAGAAAACTAGGACGAGGAGCTTAGAGCAGATGGGTGCTAACAACAAAGAATAAACCTGTAGCCGTGTGAAAAAGGGATAGAACTGCAAACACCTCCAAAAATGTGGTTTTTAATGCACCCACTTACTTCACATCCTGTTCCCAAATGTCTCTGGGAAGGGTATGCATCCTGCTACAGCTAGTATCACACACCTCCTCTGGCAAAGCTCGTGTTCAAAAGGAAGGTTTCAGACAAGGTGCTAAACTGAAGTGAAAAAGAATATGGAAACTGAAATCTTCCCCTGTTGAGAGCAGCTAAATCACATGGTGCTGCCACAGGTCTCCAGGGAGTTACTGGTTTTACTAAGCTTGAAAACTCGACCAGGATGCCATTAAACAGCTTGGAAAGCAGAAGGTAAAACACTAGAACTAAACCTGACTCCCTGTGTTAAACCCAGGCAGAATGGTGACCTGAAGTCCCAGATTCAGTTTCTAGGAGTTTGCTCTCACTGCCAGACTGAGTCTAAAAAAGGGGAACTCGCTGCTCTGAGCTGTGGGCTGGAAAACTTTCCTTAGCAGCAAAGTTCAGGTGAGAGTTTCAGAAGTTCTCAAGTGAGTTTCCTGAACAGCTCTCTGCCAGAAACAAAAGTCCTCTTTTGGCAGAACCGTCCAGTATTACTCTAGACTTCTTTTTCCCCTTCTGAACCTTCTAAAGCATTTGAAAGCTGCCAGTGTTGGTCTACGAAGTAGTGTCTGACTACCCAAGACAGCCTGGATGGTCTCTGTCCCAGTGCATTCCACCAGGTACATGTTGGGACTACAAATATGTGCTCAGTGCTAGAAGACAATGGCCAGAGAGACAGACTTTGCTGTAAAACATGTGTGCTGCAATGCAGAACGCATTCAAGTGCTAGAACCAGTTGAGTAGCACTCAGGTGTTGTAGGAGAGGATTCTGCTTTGCTCCAGTGTTTGCAGTAATTGGGTGCACCTTCCCCTGCCAATGAATGGTAAAATTTCCATTTTTCATTTCATAAAATTTCATTCCATAAAATTTCCATCTATCAAAGGTGGGCAGGGTAAAAAAACAGAATACTTTTCTGCTGGAGACCAGTGTATCTATTCATCTAATTGTAATAACTTGTGCTTTGTGAGCAGCCTTTACATACCCACTGTGGCACTCAGAATTTTCCCTCAGAGAAGACACTACATGAAGAAAGGCTCTTGCAGGGTCCTGCTCCCTTCTGTCTCTTAAGTTAGGTCTCTCAGACTTCCTTTAAAATGTTCTTCTATTTTGGAGCATAACAAAAAGTTTTTGAAAAACAGAAATTTTCAGGGATTTAATACTGAGATAAGACAACTGAAACTCTAGAAATCTTGAATCAAAACACTGCACTGCAGTTGAGCTAAACACATTCATTCCCAAACTTGTTGCAGAAACTCTTGGAAATTCCCAGGGTTCACAGTCTGTAAAAATTCCTTGGGTCTGACTTACCACCAGAGTGGTTATCTGAAAGCAGGTATCATCAGTTTGATGATTTTGGTCTGTGATGTTTCCAGGAAGATTTACTAAAGGCAAATTTGGTAAGTAAAATCCAGCTCCTTCCTGCCACAAAGTAAGATTTCCCCTGCTTGTTACCCTTTTTCAGACTTAGCCTTACACCCCATCCAAGAGACACTCCACCCAGACTTAGGATACATATTTCAAAAAACAGAAGGAGCAAAAATCAAAACCTTTACTGTAGCTTTTGTTTCTTCTCAACCTTGGGGCTATAGACTGATCTTTACACAGGAGAAAGACAAAAAGCACCTGAAAGACTTCTGATGAAGCCAGAAATCTACTTCATATTTGATGCTACAGATGCTGTGGGGATGACCAAGAAGGTCCTAGAAACAGGTGGAACTTTATTCCACTTGCCCATCAGAACACAAGAATAGGCAGCAGGAAAAATGCAAGAATATGTGCTAGAAAGGGTTAGAGGAAACAGTGCAACTCTGCAGGGTATTTTTGTACTCAGAGGCTGACAATGGATCAGCTTCATGTTTTGGCAATATTTTCCACCCGTGGAAGAGATCAAGTATTGACTTCCTTCTCAGCCTTTCCACATGTGTGCAGGCACAGACACACATCTGAGTGTCAGGAATCCAGCAATGCCATCACACAGAGTTGACAGCACAAAAAACCCCTCACAGATCTTGGAAAAACCTTCAAGGCACATTAAAAAAAAAAAAACCACCACAAAACCAAATGAGGCTATGAAATTTAAAACACCCTAAATAACAGGAATTGAAGCAATTAGTGCCAATTGGACTAATCCAGCCCTTGACAGCTTTTCTGCCCTAAATAGAGCTGCCAACATCCACTTCCCCACCAAGCTCTTCATTGAGGCTCTCCCAAGAGATGTCAGTGCTAGGGACTGACAGCACAACACCTGCTCATTGCTCACCTGGGCACTGCTCAGATCCCTGGACCCTCTCATGCTCAACGAGGCAATCACTCTTCCCATAGCAGCTTTCCTGGCTTCCAGTGCCTTTCAACCTGCATTCTGAAGCAGGTTTTAAATGGATAACTGTTAGAAAATGCAACATAAAGTGTCCTTTATTTTCAAATGCTCTTTGCTTTATGAATCCATTACACAGTGGATGGTAATTGCATGTGAGGGATATTCATTTTTACAGTGTTGCTAATGAGAAGTTTATGGTTGGCTTGTTTCATAGCATTAACTGCAATATAAAATACTTAAAGTAATTTACGTTGCCATTCAGGCTCTGAAGGACTCCTGTTCCTCCTCTTCCCTTCCTGATCTATGGACATCAGTTGGCATGGGGAGACATTGAGGTTTTGGGATTCCTTCAATCTAGTGTTATTTGCAAGTCTATAAACATAGCATAACATAAAGTACAATCTTTGTTATCATTAGAAAATTGTCTTGAAAATGCAATCTTATTGCATCCTTAGGGCAATTCATCCTTTAAGCATCACTGCTCGTGTTATTTATGGTTAGACAGTTAGTTAACTAACTTGTAAAAGTTACGGCTGTTACCCTTGAACTCTGATGAACAAGGCAGGTGGTTTTGTTGCTGTGGTGGTCAAGAGGGGGTGGCACAAGGACAATTCAACCCATGAATTTTTCTAACTTATACCCTTCTGATCCTCTCCCCCATCCTGTTGGTGGGGGAGTGTGTGAGAGGCTGAATGATTCTTGGTTGCTAGCTGGGGTTAAAACATGACACCTGAAAGCACCACAGTCTACATCTGAAACAAGCAATCCCATGTCCCTGCTGGCTGCCAGCACCTAGGAGCAGGCAGTGCAAACATATCCCTACCAGCAAACCTGCCACTTCCCTTGGAGAGACAACAGGGACAAAGGCATCTGTCTGAAAATAATAATACTTTATTTGATTTTTCTTTTTTTTTTGTTACATTATCATAAATGTTCTCTAGTCTCAGAAAACAAAGCCCTAGTTTGGAAAATAATGCACATACAAATCTCTTCTTACAGGTATTAAGTATACAGAAATATACAAAGATCTCTCTATTACTGTAATATGTCATCAGAATGCCCCACATCCCATATTTTTACTCAGGTCCACTGTACCAGGAAGCATAAACTACAAAGGTAACAAGCAACCTGAAAAAGACATGGTGTATAGAATATAATTACATATATGTATATATATATATCTACAACAGTGCAAATATATCACAGCGTGCAGGCAGCAATAGTCTCTAGAGAAGCATAATAAAATTGATTTATAGTAATGCAAATGCATTACAGAAACAAGAGACAACAATGACATATTAGATATACAGAATATGCACACTTTCGCACGCTGATTTGAAATCATACCTTGCATTGACTCTTGCTTTGAAAACAAAAGAAGAAGTGTTAAATAATTCAGTGACAGATTCAAGGGCAGTATCTCACAATAAGGTCAACTGACTCAGATAAGGTGTTTG